TGTCAGAAACATTATGATAAATATAATGGAGATTACCTGGCTTTGTCATTTTAGTCCTAATTTATGAATATTGATGTATTTAAAAATCGAGACTATTTTTCTTTGCATCTATACTCACCTCTTTGTGGGACACCTGAACACATGGATTTGGATTTTCGTTTACTTTGAAAGAAAGGTGTAAACATGTGAGACTCTGGGTAAAGCTTAAGACTAAGATAACATAAAGGAATGCTTACATGTATGTGTACCTTCTACAGTATGTAATGAAACAGATGACTACAGACAGAAATTCACAATGATTATGTGTGAGTGAAATTCCTCTGCTGAGATGAAATACCTGAAATATGAAGTAAAGTGAAGAGGCTTTAAAAAAAATTACTGTTACAAAGTTTTTGTACATATCTAATTGTTCTTATCGATATGGCTTACAGAGAAAGAATATGTAGCAGCCTGGTGACCATGTGGCAGAGGGGACAATTCTCATCCAGAGGGAAGGGGAGAGCGGGAGGAAGAAAGATTGATGTAGAGATAGAGAAGGTCTTTCTGAGGGCCAAGGCAAAATATGTGTTTAAATGTTATACATCAATGGCCTACTCTTTTCCAATCATGGCTGAATGGAGGAACAGCTATAAAGTCATCGTCATAATCCAATTACCGTTCCATAAATCTTTCTGAATTCTCCTGTCCAGAGCCAAATATTCAACACCTGAGACTCTGGGAGTTGATTTTGTAACTGTAATCAAATGTTCATGACTTGCCAACAAAACCGTGGAAATCATGAAAGATAAGTTTTGTGCTCTGCTATACATGGAACACCATCTCAAATGTTCCATACCTCACGCTCTGATTTTAGGTAACGTTAGATGCCCAAGATACGAGGCCCTGAGTTAGATTAAGTACAGCACTTAGAAGCTCACATACCACAGTGTTTCTAAATCTCTATGCAAATTTATGTGATTTACTTGTATATAATTCAAGTGAGAAATAGTACATATTTTACAGTAGAAAATTATGAATGTCTGTGACAGTATCAGTGATTTTAAATGATTTCACTGTTATGTAGCATGACAGCACTTAGGATTGAACCTGAAAATACAGCCTACTCTATAGAGAACTTATTAATGTGAATATTCCTTAAAAGCTGTGCTCAGAGCTGGAGAGATGGCTCAGCTGTTAAGAACACTGGCTGTTCTAGCAGAAGACCTGGGTTCAAATCCCAGCACCCACATGGCAACTAACAGTGTCTGTAACTCCAGTTCCAGGTGATCCGACAGCCTCTTCTGTCCTCCGTGGCCATTGCACGACATGGGTGCACTTACCTGCATGCAGGCAATAGACGCCTACACATAAAATAAAAATAAAATATTCAAAAAAGAGGTGCTCAGTATTCTTATGTGATAAGATCAATTTTTTCTTTAGTTTTCTTTTTTAAGGGATATTAGGAAAATGTTTGATTTTTAAGGGCAATATATTTGAATAATGATCCTTTCAATTCCCAACTTTCTGTGGGTTTTCTTTCTTCCTTCTCACCCCTAGCTACACAGGCATCAGGCCACTATTCTTTCTCTGCATTTATTTGTTTACGTTTACAGCTATTTAAAAATCGCAGTTGCTCTTGAGTTTTTTGGAGTGTCCACTCACATTTTATGAATTCCACACTCTGAACATGTCCCTGACATATGTTGAATCAGAGTCAATGTTCCAGTCAATTAGGGAAGTCAGATCCTTAGAAAAATGCCAATAGTTAGCACCTGGTCACAGCACTTTTCCTAAACACAGATTGTATTAAACTCTGTGGAGTGTACTTACATTGAGAGGACATAATAAGAATTGAATTCCCATTAATATGCAGTTATCTTGGAAAATATAGGGAATGTCCTGGGAAGGGTAAATGTGATACAGATAAAAGTGGTGTTTCGAGTCTGTCTTCAGTTCCTGTAACTGAGAATTGAAACTCTGATTGTGAAACTCAGTTATTACTAGGCAGAGCGGGCCCAGTTCGAAGACTTAGGCTGTGTTTTCTCATTACCATTAGTCAGAAGACAAGATTCTTGTTTGAGAAGTACATATGGTTATAGAAATGATGTTAGCAGAATACCTGTATAGATTTTTAAAGAGGCTCTGAGGAACTGTTTTCACAAGATCAAACAAACATAGTACTATGTATTTGTG